AGTCTTCTCAATAAAGGAAAACCATCCAGTTTCCTGATCTCATTGTCAGAAAAATCAATAGCATCAAACTGGTCTAAAGTAGCACCTAGATTTTCAATGACAGGAATTTTATATCCTGTAGAGGGGGAAAAACACATACAACAAGTATTAATATAAATGAAAGGTCATGAAAAAGTAGGAGTACTTGATGGTAATTAGACTCAAAGTATTCATTCTAGTAGTATTCAACTGGCAGGGTGCCACGAAGCGCGTGGTCAGGCACTAAACTTGAAGAGGCTGAAGACAAGAACAGATGAGCACACTTACTAATATTGGTGTCCACTGTTTGTATGTCACACTGCTCCAAGTCCTTAGAGTTATTAGGCTCCATGACAAATTAACACTGCTTGCTGTTAATGCCCAAGCCTCACTTGGACACTGGTGACAAGCGTTCTCAACCGTTTGAATAACTCATCAGTAAGTACATCCTCATGGTATCCTGACTCACCCTCCTCTCCACCAGCTCCAATTCAGAGCTGAAAATGGTTATAGACAGCTACAAATCACACTGTGAGCATCCCCTTGATTGTCAAAATCATCGAGGTAGGTACCAAAGGAAGAAAAGAAATTTAATACACAACTCAGCTGTGACAGAGTGCAATAAAATATGGTACCAAAATAAGCATTCTCAAGACTGCATGGTCTTCAGAGATGCAGCACAGACCAAAAATGAGCCAGGACAGTAAAAGGGCCCAGATGCTCCTGAACTGGACCTTTGTCTAAGAAAGTTAATTTCAACTAATAACAGCACCAGGATTTCCTGTAGGTCAGCTAGGGATTTTAGCAAATGGCAAAGCATAGTCCAATGAGACTGTGGTTGCCTCAGGACAGGTATATAATCTTAACCCCTTTCAAAGCCATCTCCAGAAGTCATTGATAACTGTAATTTCAATGCTATGTGGGGTTATTTGTTGTTGCTGTTTGTCTTGTTTTATACAAGACAGGAGACTAGGCTGGCCTCGAACTCAAGAGATCTGCCTGCCTCTGCCTTCCAAGTGCTGGGATTAAAGGCTACAACCACCCAGCCAATGCTGGGTTTTGTTGTTTTTTGTTTTTGGAGACAGGGTTTCTCTGTGTAGTTTTGATGCCTGTTCTGGCTCTCGATCTGTAGACCAGGCTGGCCTGCAACTCACAGAGATCCGCCTGACTCTGCCTCCCGAATGCTGGGATTAAAGGCGTGTGCCACCGTCGCCAGGCCTGCGAATGCTAATTTTTAAACTAAGCTCTACTCAACAGATGAGAGTGTCCACCACCCCTCACATGGAAATGATGATTAAGCCTTGGTCAAACAATTCAATCTTGAAAACACCTTCATAAAAGTGAACTATCAGGGGCTGCGGATCTGGTTCTGTGGGGCAAGTGCTTACCCAGCACACACACAATCCTGGGCTCCTCCGCAGCACCGTATAAACATGGGGCACACATTTAAACCCGGCACCCGGAAGTGGAGGCAAGAGGGTCGTAAACCCTTAACTATATAGCGGTTTCAAGTCAGCTCTGAGCACACGAGACCCTGTCTCAAAAACAAATGAACATCAAACGGAAATTATTGTACAATTAAGGCAACTCTGACTTACAGCTAATCTACCCTCACGTGCCATATTAACGCATTTGTTAAAAACCAGCCGGTCTCCATCCCGCATGTACCATTTGCCTATTTTCCTGGCCCCCAAACAGTGCAGGCTGCGGCTGAAAATGCCGGGCAAAGCCAAACGAGTACGGACCCGGGAAGGAATCGAGGAGCCGCGTCTGCTAGCGGGGGCGGGCAGCAGATGGCTCCGAAGGGCCCCGCGGGACCGTCGATCCGAGGTACCCGGGACCGGGGCGGGAGGCCCGGGCCAGGCTCCGGCCTCGGCGCACGCGGCGGGCCGGTTTCTCCCGGGCGCGCGCCGGGCCCGGACCCAGCCGGCGCCCCGCCTAACTCACCGCGAAGGTCCAGCTCGCGGTCCCGCACAGCGTTGGTGTACTGCGCCGCCTGCTCGATCAGCTCCGCCGTCAGCTTCACCATCCTGCCGCCGCCCGAGTCCCCTCACCTCCGCCACCGGCCCGCGCCTCCCGCCAGCGCCGTGTCCCAGAGTGCACCGCGCCGCGCTGCCAGACCTCACCAATCGAAGCCGCGCGCGCCTCGGCCACCAGGCTAAAGCAATAGAAGGCGCCGCCGCCGAGCTTTGCGATCGTCGTCTTGGCTTCTAGGTTCTGGGCTGGAGCGTTCCTGGGGCGTGGAGAGCCCAGATTCCAGGCATTGGTGGCCAAAAGATAAGAGCACGCCAGAGGCACTCTCTCTCTCTCTCTCTCTTACTTCAGTGCACCTCGAGGGAGGTGCAAAAGGGGGCGGAGACTCCGTGAAGGCTCCAGGGATTCGGGTCCCCAAGGGCTTGGGCTTCCAGCAGAGACAAGGTTGGGCCAGTCAGCTCGACTGCCTTAAGATGGGCCACATCCGATCTAGTACTGTCTGTCACTTTAAAGCCTCAGGGTGGGCTTGCGGCCTCTAGACATTTAAGTATTCGTATGGAGGGTCTAGCCGGTGAGATGGCTTAGAGGTTACGAGCACTTACTGCTTTTGCAAAGGACTTGAGTTCACATTCCCAGTACCCAGTTGGGCGCCTCACAACTGCTTGTAACTACAGCTTCAGGAGATTCGTCGCCCCTTTTCTAGGCTCCCCGACACTCGCAATCACAAAGACACACGTATATACATAAAAATAAAATAAATCTTAAATGATATTCATGTTGTAGGCCTGGCGTGTCGGGGAATGCCTTTAATCCCAGCACTTGTGAGGCTGGATCTCTGAGATTGTTCCAAGACAACCAGGGCTACACAGAGAAACCCGGCCTTGAAAAAACAAAACAACAGCAGCAAAATTCATATGAAGAGCAGGCTAGTACACACATCAGAAGCCTGACATTTGATGACTGCCAACAGAGTGAACACAACACACCTGCAGAGCCTTGGCCTGTCCCCAAAGACGACCGGAAGCCCAATTTCACAAATTAATGTGCTCATTTTTGATCATAGCTTATTAATTTGTGTATATACCACCTGTGTGGGTGCCAGGGGAGGCATCTGGCCTGAGATTCCCTGGAGCTAGCCGTTGTGATCCTGTGGACATGTGGTACTACAAGCTGAACTCCAGACCTCTGCAAGAGCAGAAATGCCTTCTTTAAATCATTTAAAAAATTACCTGGGTATCTGTGTGGTTTTGTGCACATGGGTGCAGATACCCACAGAGTTCAGAGGCACCAGGTTCTCTGAAATTGGAGTTACAGGTGGTTGCTGGAAATGAACTCAGGTCCTCTGAAAGAGCTGTGTGCACCCTTATCAGCTGAGTCATGGGAACATCTCACCCTCCTGCCTTCACCTCCAAGTGCTAGGATTATTGGATTGAGTTTATGTAGTGGTGGGAATGGACTCTTGAGTTTTTTGTGCATGCTGAGGCAAGTACTCTCCTCACTGAGCCACATTCCCAGCCCGGATTTTGGTTATTCTAAGACAGGGTTTCACACTGTAGCTCAGGCTGACCTGTAAGTCACTGCAATCCTCCCAACTCAGCCTCCCAAGTGCTGTGGTTACACACAAACACTACTGAAATGGCTAAGGTAACACCATCTTGTCCAGCACCAAGAGACGCTAATAAAGGGACTTAGATACTCCTAATTGGCTCAGTTATTCCGATTGTCAATAACTATCTCATGTGGATCATTTCACCACCATACAGCTGAATCTGGTTTTTTTCTTTTTTTCTTTTTTTAGAGACAGGATTTCTCTGTGTAGCCCTGGCTGTCCTGGAACTCGCTTTGTAGACAGGCTGGATTTGAACTCAGAGATTCACTTGCCTTTGCCTCTTGAGTGCTGGGATTAAAGGCATGCACCATCATGCCCAGCTATAATCATTGCTTG